ATTCCTTATAACGAAAAATTTAATGTTCTATTTAGCGTTATATAGAAAAATAATTGATATGTAATTATAATTTGATTTTATTAATGCATAAATATTTATTCTTTATATATATATATAATACAAATATATACTTTTTGATCAACTTTTCTTCATAATACACACAAATATATATAAATTTTGTTTTATTTCTTATAATGAAGAGCATGATATAATTGAAGTATTATTTGTTTTAATAAAATGAAAAATTTTCAATAATATTTAAATAATAATTATAAATACAATTGTGAAAAAAAAAAAGAAATTATGCCGGGGGCACCATCTTTTCTAACCCCTTACCTGGCACCTGCTCACGATGCACCGGAGAAGCCCAAGGCGTGACAGCAGATTCAACCTGGCAACATGTGCATGCTTATAGCTGTCCGGTACATTGTCAAGTGGTTATATTTTTTTTGACAGATGACATTATATACTCATAGTTTATCATATAACGGTTGTATAATTTGTGCTAAGTGTCTAGTGAAATTACATTTTCCATTTTTTGTCTCTGAGAATGTATCTTTGTGATAAACAAAAGCAAGTCATTAAATTGGAAATTGATATTTTATTATAGTTAGTGTTAAGTGTAGTGACGCATATAAATATTATAAGAACATAAAGAACTTTAATTCTATTAAATTTTAAAAAAAAAAACAAAAAAAAAATGAAACTTCGAAGTTATCCAAGAAGATAATGTGACATTGAATTATCTTTTTATAGTTGAATTTTACATTATTATTTCCATTGAAAGTAAAGGAAAAAGAGAATAAGTTCAACTAAAGGTATAAATATTTAATATGGTTTTAATATAAAATTTTTTACGAAAAATACAATAAAAAAAGTTGCAAAGATAATTATTTGATATTGATACATACAGTGAAAAAAAAATGGGTAAGGATATTACTTCTATATTTATTCCACGTGTGTATGTGTCATTATTCGAATCTTGCTCGCAATGGTCATTTTCAATCTTATTTCGAATATGTGTACGTATACATGCATATGTACATAATACGTATACGATGTGTTTGTATTTACTATATACAGTTTGTACGTGAACATGTTATATAAAATGTGTCATAATACTTTGAACGTCCGAGTGTGACTCACATTTACGCAATCTTTACGCGGTGCTCAAGTCAGATTATTTCGAATAGATACAAAGCATCGCATGGATATTCAATGAATGGAAAATTCGAAAGTAGCAGCAATACATATTAGGAAATTTAAGAAAATCTTATTTCTTTTTGAATTTAATTAAAAACAAACGTGATCAAGACGATTTGATCGAAATCATTGTATTTATTTCAATTTATACTTAAGAGCATATCTTGATTCGTTGATTCTTTCTTTCGTGTGCTCATTCTTAATTACTTGACAGGAATGTATCGAGATTCATTCTGTAATATTTATAACTGAAGTAGGCATCGCTGACATTGCCATCACACGTTCCAATTTACGCTCCGCAAATTGTCTACGCTTCTGTGGCGTTGATGTACGCTCGAAGCGCACCTTAAGCAACGTGGAGTTAATTACAGTAATGAGACAGCTGTAATCGATTGACATTTTAGTGGTAGGTCGCTTCATATACAGCAAAAGATCTCAAAGGAAATTGGGGGGATTTCGGAATTACTTAAAAAATTCTTGAAAATGTGTCGTTGCGATCAGATAGAGATCAATTTTTCTGATAATTCTTCTGGCGTGATTTAGATTCAACGATAATTAACAACGATTAACAACAACAATATATTTCACTAAAATACACAAAATGCATTTACTAATTCAACATAATTACTGTTAGTGTTGATAATGTACTTGTATACATTTCATAGATGCAATTTTACCATTTAGCTACCAAAAGTTTGACTAACAATTTATTGAAATAGATTATGGCTAGATATACGAATTTATATTTGGAAAAAACCATTGCTATTTTTTATTTGAAAATCTTTCCAAATAGAAAGAAATTTTTTTTATATCAATATAAATAAATATTTATTTGAAATATTTATTTAAAATTACAAAAAAGATTTATCGAGTTGAAAATAAAACCTAAGCAAATAAATTATAAAGAATTGAAGGTTGTGTGTGATGCAATAATCGTACAAGTAGTTCTTATGCGTAGGAAAATCACATTCCAGCGTATAATTGAAGTAAACGTTAAGAAAAGTTGCAGAAATATTTGTGTGCGATTGTGTACACATCATAAAACTTGAACAATGCTCTTCCTGTATCATTCTTTTCAATACGCTTGTATGCGTTCTTTTCTCATACCTATACCGTGCTCTTAATTTCGTTTTTTCCTAATCCAAACACGTTTTACAGCGAATTTCTTGCAAGAAAATAGCGGTTTTTTTTAAATAAATAATATTGAAAATCTTCTTAATCAATTTCTTTTGCTTATTTCTTTGTTAGTTGATTAGTTTTTTATATTTAAGATGAATATAAATTGATTCCAAATCTCTTTGTTATTCTTGATCTTCATTATGCAAGAAATTTATAAAATACATTCACGATATCTACGTATCTCTGTATACAGATTTGCATTCAATTCAAAATGTGAAGGAATTTTATCAGAAAATTCTTGAAAATATAAATTAACAGAGTTTTTTTTTATTAGAAAATAATGATTTGATGCTATCAAAGAATTGCAATAATAATAAATGGCACTATAAAAGTATGCAAGGTCAAATTCCGTCAAGATACTCATCTAGGTTGTTTGTCTTCTTTTAAATAATTACTTGTTCATTAAAAAATCTTCACCTTGAGAAGCAACTGTCTTCGTTATCGTTCAATAAATTCCCACGTGTTCTCCCTTCTTCGTAATTACGATGAATTTATTTTAATGCAAAATTACATACATCGTTGAACACTGCGATTTTCATTTGATCATTTGTAATTAATTAACAATAGATTATATTCTAAATATGGAGAATATTATTACGCAAACAAAATTCTGTTTTCGAAGCTTAAGTTAGAATTAAATAAATATTCAAGATAAAAATTTACAATTTTCTAATGTATCTTTTTCGCTTAAGATCACAACCAATCTCGAAATTTTTATTTTGATACGATTACGTGTCTGATGAAGGAAATATGTAATAAAGTGATGACGGCGATTAGTAATTTTAAAATCATCATTAAATATCCTGCTTACCATTCGAGGAGATTTTTCTGATTCATAGATTCCGATAATAATCTATAATTATTAAATATGAAAGATGTTTATTCGTATAATTGATGTTTTGATCGAAGATAAATATCAATGTTTTTTAATGTTATTAAGAGAACTCAAGATATATATCTTCCTAAAAATTAAGAAAACTAATAAATAATTGAGAGGGATAGAATTGAAGAAAATAAAATACAATGTCTACTATTTACAGAAAATATATTTTTAATAATAGATAGAAGAAAACGAATGATACCTGAATTTTCAACAAAATTTTCAAAAAAATATTTACAGCATTGCAATCCATTTGTAAGCTAGTTCGTGCTGTTGAACGTCAAAATATTTCTTAGTTACCGTAGTACTTTCGCGAGAAGGCGTACAGTATTACTGTACTGAAAATATTGCTATGTATATTGCAGTTGCATATGCATCAGTCATTCAGACTCGTTTCTCGTTATGAGTAGTAATTCCAAAATATTTGTTAACAAAATTCTCTGTATTTTCTCCGGTATTTCATTTGAGTTTTTTAAAACTTATATTTGAGTGATAATAATTATTTATTTTTTTTTATCATTAAATGTTTAAAATTGTTATAATAAAATCGTAATAAAAATATACATAGATCTAAATCCAATTAAATGTTTTATCGAAAAATTTGTTCTCTAAATAATAAAATAATAATAATAATAATAATAATAATAATATATAATTTTAACTATTATATGATTTTCTACGTAATGATGTTAATTGTCATCTTGATACAAAAAATCAATCAAAGAAACAGTATTCCTTAAACAGTCGTTCACTATATACGCTCGAGCGATTCATAGTGTACATGTGTAGATTGTTTTATGTAAATCAACGCGTAGGTTACTTGAAGCGTGTTACTGTTTGAACTGAATCGTACATACAAACATATTCTATACGAATCACTCTTCTGTCTAGGAATTATGTGTTTAGTTATACTCAAAGCATCGATGATAATTGACATGCATTAGCCGATTTTCATTTCAAATACAAGATTTAAAATATTGTTATTTTTTTATTATTATTATTATTTTTTCTAACTTGAATATTGAATACAATACGTGTAAATTATTATTTATTTTTATTGCATAAAATATCATAAATATTTTAATTTTAATATTCGTCGATTTCATTTTACGTTAATAGCAAAATTTGCATTTCTATTACGATTGCTACTAAAAATATCGTACTAAACTGATAAATATTTTGCTAGATTTACTCTATAAAGGTTCTTGAACTCTTAACCTGGATGGAAATAGGAGAATCAAGCTGTCAACTTGCAAATCGAATCTGTTCTCATTTCGTATCTGCCAAACATTCTACTTTATTCACTTATAGGAATATTGGCTCGACTATGATCGGTGAATTGTATTTTTAAATTGCACATTGTTTTAGAATTATCTGCATTTATGTTAAGTTATGTTTATGTGCATATATATTGCAGAATATAATTTTATATGAACATAAAGAATTAAAATATTATTGTACATATCTAAAATTACTCATATTTTTTTATAATTTCATACAAATAATACAAATAATATTGATATCTCAATGAAAATGAAACTGAATGAATACAATTAATAATTCTGACTAGAGAATAAAAATATTACAATTGTTTATCTAATACTTTATATTTATTTTATATTTATATTTAAATTATTATTCTAATATCAATATTTTATGTTATTAATATTTGATTTTTCAAACAGTTTTGCTATCTATCTATCTAAATTTAAAAAGTGAAAGATTCAATTAATATTTTGCAAATATTAATATTGTTGCCATAAAATCAATAATAAACATTAATGATCAAGACGTACAATCGTGAAAAGCAAAATAGAAAATACATAATAGCAGATTTTTCCTGTAATTAAATTCGATGCTGAGGAATTTATTTGTTCATTCTTGGTCCTCTTATTTATCTTCTCGTTAGAATGACAAAGATATTCATCATCATTTGGTATTATATCCTTTACAATAGCAAAAAAGTCATATAGTGGACATAACTCCGCGCAACCAGGAATCGTTTTGTATTTAAGTTGTTCTCCATTCCAAAATAAAACCTAGAAATAAGTTTTTCAAGAATGAATTTCATTTCGTATTATTTTAATACATTACTCAATACATCACGAATTAAAATATTTACTCGAACGTAATAATTCTTCTTCTTATCGCGCAACGTTTCCAGGATGATAGTAAAACCGTATGAAGGAATAATAGGTTCGTCCAATTCTAAAGCTCTTGCAACTGCAGCAACGTTCATTTCATGGCCCGAGAAAAAGAACGCTTTCCTATCGTATGGTTTTAATCTACCCGCTATGTACAACTTGATATCTTCCACTATTTTACGTATTAACATACCTGCAAAAAAAAAAAAATAAAAATAAAAAGAATATACTGACTTTCATATACAAGATATTAATTTAAAAAAAAATGAGAATTAATATTCTTATACCTCCGTTCAAACGTTTCAATGTTTTTGTGTACGATCTGAATTTAAAATCAAGCGCGACTATTTCCTTTAGCAGGGCAGGATAAACTGCCTCGGTCCATTTTGGAAGAGTCAGATTTTGAATTGTCTGAAAAGTATCGTTTACAATATCACATTCTCTCAAAAGATTCTATATTTATTATTCGTACGATATGAAAGTAATTTTTCACCTCTTCTTTTAATAAATTATAAAAATGAAGGACATCGGATGTCGTATTGATGACCTTCCCACTTCTCTCGGTCAAGTAATTCATCACATACTTGTATTTATTCAGTAGATTTTGAGCTTCGTTCTGTTGCAAGAACTCATTATATTCTTCCTTATACCTTGGAATCGTAAGAGAAAGAAAATTTTAATTACGAATATATATCGTAATTTTAATTATGAAAATAATTACTTTGGACAATTATTCGGAAACATGAGATTGTCGTGGTGATAGGGCATAAAGAAGGAGTGCGTCGGAATCCAGGGTAGATCTGGATTCCAGGTTTGCTTCTCAGAGGGTGGGAATAATCCAGCCAAAACTAGTTGCACAGATAGCTGAGTTCTTGGAATGAAAGTCGATCGGGCATAGATCTTCTCTGGCCAATAATCTGGTCCGAAATATTGATTGTAACGTTCACGTAGCATTTTTCCAATTCTGTATTCGCGTAATTTACCTTCCTGTATAATTGCATAAAAACAATTATCGTTATCTGTACTTATGATTATATCGATAGCGCTATAATGGCTTCGTGACTAAAAGATAATTACAATATTTTTGCGTTTTTTAAAATATTATTTTTAACATTATAAAATGTTAAGTATGATATTTAAAAGATAGACTTAATATATGATAGTCAATATTTAATATAAATAATGAATTTTAGAGTTAATAATCAGCAATAATTAATTTTACAGGCAAATAAATGGAAATTGAATTATACTTAAAGTAAAGAATAAATCAAGCTTGCTCAAATTTTAAAATACTAATTGCAAAAATGTTTAATTTTAGTCTCAAGGACTTCTTGGAATTCTCTAAATACCTTATGAAACCACACCTTAGCATTGACACGGTACTCGAGATTTAGATCCGTATCAAAGATTTAACTGATGCGATTATATTGAAATGCATGAGCGTGAGATTATAATCGATATTCATACATAGTTCTAGAATATTTCATATACAATGTATGTGCGTTGATTTATTATTCTTCCAAATAGTATTCTTTTTTTTTTTTTTACTCACGTTTGTCAAATCTCCACTTCCCAATGGATAATAGGAATAATCGCGGTAAGGATCGTTAGGATAATTTTGAAATTCCTTATGAGGCACCTTCTCGCCATGTCGGAACACCTTCGAAAAATACATTTTTATTAATGTTTCGTCACAATGACGATAATTTAAAATAAGCATAAAGATCACGCATCAATGGCTAAATGTTTATTCACTTTCACTTCGAAGTATTTAGGAAATAAGGTTACATCTAGCTCGATGACAACGTTTATTCACATACAGATTTCACTGAAAACTTTTATTCGATAAAATAAAATTATTTACCACGTGCAACATTTGTAAATCCAAATCACAATTGATCATGACCACGGTGAATAGTAGAAGGATAAAAGAGATCACTGAACCATTGAATAACATATTTTATTATTATTATTATTAATATTATTTTATTTTTTTTTTTTTTTTTTGTCTTTTCGATCCGATGAGATATAAGGTACGACAAGTACGTTCGAAATGTACACACGATCTACGATCTACGAAGAGCTATATATTCCTGCTTGTGCTTAACTAAAACAACTGGTCGAGTGGGGGTGGATAAGGAACAGGTTTGCAGTTCCCCCGATTTTTATCGTGGCTTCCCCGTTTTTACTCGTTACGTTGATCCTTTCCTTACTATCAAGTCGCGATCATTATGCTCCTTGAAGGTCACTCAAAGAATGGGAAATCCGACAGAGAATGTCTCCAGTCTAATGGTTCAATATCAATAATTCGAGATTCTCGAAAAAATCATGCATTATCTCTAAATAAAAATCGCTTTCAATTGTTAAAAGTACTTTTATTTAATCATAATTATGATTCTGTTAAGTCCAATCTTGTACTTGTACAATTATTTGTTGCTTAACCCGAGGTTGAAACTTCAAACAGAAGTGGAGAAAGTAGGTAAAGATTGAATATTGATATATGTGTATTTCTCATCGAATATGCAAATGACGAAGACCGTTTTAAGAAGTATTTTGATCTTTGATCTTTTGTCGGAAGAAATATTGCATAAGTATTTGAAAATTTATTTATAATTCGTATATTTTTTTCGTGGAAGTGATCTCAATATTTGATCAATCAATTAATCAAAAGTTAATTGAATATATATTTAAAAAATAATATGAATTTATAATTTGTATTATTATAATATATATATATATAAATTTATCAATGTAGCAGGAACTTTATGAGACAATTTTTCTCTTTTATTTAATTTATAATTCTTTCCAAGAATTTAATATTAAATGTTATTATTGATTATACCACGAATTTTTGTCATACTTATTCTCACCAAGTTCAGTTTACGTTTATTTTATTTTTGGTGAAATAATTCTATAAGTCAATCATTTATGAGAAAATTTTTTGCAAGAATTCTTGAAATAGTACAGTATTCGAAATTTATGATAATAATTAAACATATAGTATTGATAATTTATTATCTCTCAAAAAGGAAATAAATGATTGGAAACCGGTTAATCAGAAACAAATCGAAGTTTCGTAACTTGTTAATAGTAAATGTTCGCTGATTTATCAAGGACTTGAATTTTATCGATCTAACTTTTATTTGATTGCATCATAGTGATATATTAATCATTTGTCTTATGACATTTTTACCAGGATATTGCATTTCATTCATTTGCAAATATAAATTATTCTAAATACCTTGCATTTTATATCAAAAAAATTTAATCAATTTTTTTAACAAATTTAATTTATTAGGTATAAATTTAAAATTTATAAAAATTTTATTGAAAATTCAACTTCTTAAACAATTCAAACTTCTTAAACAAATTTCATTTAAGGTAAACATGAATCGTTTGATTGTTTAATTTTGTAAATGTTTCAATATTAAGGAAACAAGTAACGAGAGGGAATACCAGTATGAATCACGATCATCAGTTCTTCTATATTCATTTATTTTATGTAGATTTTGTTAGATCCACGTATTAATCATCTTGTTTTATTTCGGTACCATCTGACATGGAAATCCTGATTTAAAAATCCTGTCACGCCTGCCCATCTAGTTTTTCCTTTTACGACTTCATTCCGCGAACAATGAAACTTGGCGCTTATATCGTAGACAAACGGTACACAAAAAATTGCACAATGATAATACAATGAAACAATTCGTGTCGAGGCGTTAAAAAATGATAACGTTACAACTTTATGCGAAATATATAATACCGATTGTAAGAAATATATTTTGCTATCAGTTTTTTAAACATTCGTATTTCTAAAGGAAAAATTGCAAATATTTTTTATTTATTTATTTTTTTTATATCTTCAATTTGACGCAGTAGTATTGATTTATTCTTCAATAGTATTTATTAATAAATCATTCTGTTTGTTATATATTGTAATATATAATATCCATATCGATATAGCGAACAGAAAATTGTGAGTAATATATTATTTATACGATCAATCGAAATGGAAACATCAATTATCCGTGATTTAATTTAAACGGTATTCGTCCTATATTTTTTATTTTATGCAAAACCTTGTAGAAAATATAACGAGATTATGAGCAAAACGTAAACTATTTATGGACGATAGATTTTACACTCCAGTTCATTTTTATTTAATCGAAAAATCGTCGATCGCGGTTCAGGTATGACCTCGTATAGATTGCGTCTTTTTTTAAAATCTTGTTGCGTTAAAGTAATTCTCACTTCAAAATCGATTTTCTCCATCTCTTCACACTTTGTTTCATATTGTTGAATATTGTATCTTTGTAGAGAATCTTTAGGATAAATCCACTTTCAAATATTTTAAATATCAGAGAATATCTCTGTTTAAAGATTTACAATGGTGATTTAGCATTGAATATTTAGTTCACTTTATTCGTTTGAAATCTGTGAAATAAACGATGATAAATGTAATATACGGATGTATAGATATATTTTTACTGTTGGTGCTTCATAATGATATATGCGTCATCAGGATCGTAGGCGAAAAGAAAAAAGTATCGCAATAGAGAATCATGGATGGAAGGAGTTGTAGGTGTTGAAAATCTACGCCTCCGTTTTAATTCGTATATATACATTAAGGGTTGAAATAAAAAAATTGATAAATCGTCTTAAAAGATCATTTTTAAGAAAATTTTTCTTGCTAAAAGGATCGACGTTGCACGTTTCTTTTTTGAGAAATGAATATCTTTTGAAAAGTTTTTGTAAGATTTATATAAAGAAAATAATGACTCAAATGTATTAAAATTTAAATTCTCAGTATTCTTTATAGCAATCATCTATAATCATATTGACGCAAATTCATATGTCTCATTATAATTAGCATTGAAATATCATTGCTAAATTTATAAAATTTTTATAAAAACGTGATTTTTTTAATTTATTCTGCAAACTATTTAAATTATAATTATTTTTAGAAAAATAAACACTAAAAATAAACTAAAAAAAAACATTAATAATAAAAAATGCAAATGTTGATTAGATAATGATGATGATAAATAAATTCTAATATAGTGTAATGGATAATACTTAATAAAATTCAGTTTTAAAATTTTCATTATTTCTTATATCCGTTTACTTGCGTATTCATAATTAAGCCAAGTTTCGTAGCAATGAGAGATTGAAAATCCGATTATTCGTTTATCTTAGTATTCATGTTTAAATTAAATTCGAATGACGTTATGTTAAAGAATAACTTTAACAAATATAATGAACAATTTTGTTTATCTCGAAAAGGCATATATTTCAAATAATTATCGATTCTTGCATGTTTGTTGATCTCAAGATACATAATATTGTATCACGTTATATAAAGACTCCGTTAGATTGTAATTATTTGTTGCAAACTGATTTGAATTTGATTTTACCTGCTTTCCATACCTTCCTCCTTCCTTCTCCTTCATTTCATGATTTATTGTTGCCTCGTTCTTTTTTTTTTTTCTTTTAAAGCTTATTTCCGCACTAGATTTTTATTCATTGATATATCTCTGAATCGATGTATCGATTATTCTATTATATATTTAAGCTAGTGATAATCTTGAGTCGAACTTCCTTTCGCTTTCACCATATTTTCATGTTGGCATAGGTATGCTTTTAATACATAATTATAATACTTTTAAAAAATTTCAAAATAAATACATGATTGATAGAATAAATTTGCAGAATAATTTATTATTTATAACACTTATTATTCATAATTTTTGAAAATGACAATGTTGTTTTAATTCGCCATTCTTATAATTCAAAAATTTCATTAGTAAAATAAATCTAGGTAATCGATGAAATATCATAATTGTGCTAAACAAGTAGTAATAGTAGCAATATCGTTGTTCACCGAAGTTTATATAATTACTTGAAATCGTATTCAAGAATATGCGTATGAATTTTAATCTGACTACAGATGCTCGTCGTTGATACGAGATGCAGAGAGTAGTTTCCATTATTACGTACAGAATTAATAATGGATGTATTAGACTGCGAGGCAACAGAGTCACAAATTAGGGATGTTTCTTATCGTAAATGTACAGCCACATGTATGTCACTTTTATGATCTGCAATCATTCACATATTATAATTTTTAATAAGCGAGTTAACATTGAACAGGAAATATAAATTTGCCTTTATTAAATCGTTTAACTTTCTGTGTTTCGTTTAAAATGCGAGAGACCGTATCGGGATACACGTTATTCCGATTATTCGATGTTCTTTCAAATCTTTTGCAATATTACTCAAACTGTCGTGCTTTATTTTACTTGATAGAACTTTGCGTTAATATTTTTTAGGAAATTTGGATTGTTTCGAATGATTTGAACACGAATTATTTTCACGTATAATTTAGATTTAAATTAGTCTGTTATATATCAAATGTACAACTCTTAATAAATAAGTCTGAAAAATAAAGATATATACATAAGATGTAAGCAATCTAGATTGAAATAATTTTTCTCCACTCTTATGAAATTTTTATTTTCATCAAAAATATTGATATTGGAATGAAGCTATCGCAGGAATCCGGTTATTAGAGAGACCGATTTTGCAAATATTTTTACCCGCCATTTGACCTGTCAAATATCGAAACATAAAAAGGCGGGGGAAAAAAAAGAACAGAAAGACACCTGGATAGAACCGCATCGTTGTTAGATACTGCAGTTGTAGTAGAACTGCTGAGAAAGGAAATCCAATACCATGGAATTGAATAACGTATCGACAGACGTCGTAGGGCGCGAAGGCACATTCGGGAACAACTTCCTTTTACGGAAACGACGATAGATCTGTTCGAAATCGATGGAATCGATTCGTTTCGGTCCCGAATTCTTAATATAATTCTTCAATTTTCATCTCCTTCGTTCTCTTGTCTTATTCTTTCGTATAATATTCTTTCTCTTTTACATGAGAAAACCATTTGAGAAAGTTTACGACAGTTAGCAGTTGGTAATAACAGACTTAAGCAAACGAATAGAAATTTGAATGGATCATTTCAAGATATCTTAAGTACATCATAAAATGGACGAGCAAAAAAATATAACGGTGTAAAAGATATGTCGAGGAAAGTAGTAA